ATCAGAGCTTAGTCTAATTAGTTCTTCTTAGTAAATTACTTTCCATTTTCCCAAAGCTGCTCACAGGATTCTTGTCTTTGGTTTTAGAAAGTTTGATTATATGCCTTGGTGATTTTCCTTTGGGAAACAACTTCCTGCATAGTTATCTTCTCATCTTGGATGCTACGGAAATTTTTTTTCAACAATTTTCTTTTTTAAGTATTTTTCATCAACAATTTTCTATGTGGCTATTTTGTCTCTTCCTGTTCTAGAATATTCCAACCACAGTTAAGTTATTCCTCTTGATACTGTCCCACATAAATCTTAGGCTTTCTTTGGATCTTTCCTTCTTTTTTCTACTTCTAGCAGACTTGTACTGAGAGATATGTCTTCAAGCTCAATAATTCTGCCTTCCAGTGATTCAAATATACTCCATTGTTCTTTCAACTTATTTTCCATTGATGAAATATTAGTATTAATTTTCTGCATTTTCATTTGCAGGTTTTGTATTGCTACAAATTTTTTCTTTTATTTTGGTCATTTGTTCTTGTAGTGCATCTGAATTCTTCTAAGTTTTTAATGTTCTCCTTGCTTTTCTTAGCAACTTTCTTGATCTTTTTCTCAATCCATTGTAGGTACCCAACACCATTCTTTTGAATTCTTTATCAGGTAGTTCTAATACTTTTTCTTTCTTAGAAGTGTTTTCTAGCTCTGCATTTTAGTCAGTTGTTTGAATCACCCGGTCTTGTTTCTTTGTATGTAAACTGAAAAGTGTAGTGGTTACGAGTCAGGCTGTGAACCTTAAGGTCAGCAGTTCAAAACTACCAACCGCTCCTCAGGAGAAAGATGAAGCTTTCTGCTCCTGTAAAGATTTACAGCCTCGGAAACTCTGTACAGGGTCGCTCTGGATCGGAACCAACTCAACGGCACTTAACAACAACAACAATAAACTGAAATTACCTGTTGTCTCTAAGACACTGTGGAGTCACTGTTTTTGTATTTAATTAATAATTGTATATTGGTGTGTTCTTAGACAGTCACCTACCTGCCTCACGGTAGGTGTGATAGAGAATGAAAGTATGTATATGCACAGTTCTATATGTGTAGCACATTTCAGGGTGGGTTTGCTGGTTTTGGCTGGTGCCTATCATTGGTTAAGTGGTACAGGAGCTAATTGTGGCTCTTGCCCCGGGGGAGGGGCTGCAAGTGGTATTGGTGTGGCTGGGCTTGTATGTCTCCTGTTGAATGGGGTACACACACACAAACACACATACATGGGACAGAGGAAACAAAAACAAATGGCCAAAAAATAATAATAAAGAAGACAAAAACAAAAACAAACAAAAAAAAAAACCCAGTAATGAACACTGAGTGTGCCTTTAAGGATTAATAGGAATCTCCAACAGAGACTCTTTGACCACATTAGAATCCTGAGATATTGACCTGTACATTTTCCCCATCTGTCAGCCCTTTCCTTTTTTCTTCACCTTCCTCTCTATCCAGCTTGGATTCCACAGTTCATCATTCAAATACATCCTTAATTCTCTTTGCCTATCTTTATAGCTTACCTTATCTGGAGGTGCCCGTTCCCTAGTGGGAAACAGATTCAACTGCATTTAGGTTCATCAGAGATTTATTGCCAAGTATTATGCGGCTTTCACAATTACTAGAAGGTGATAGGAGCAAGGTCTGACAGAACTTCCAAGAACAACTAACATACAAAATAACACCATCTTTGCCAAGATTAAGAAACTTATGGTTATCACTGCATAAAATCACCAAACCGTTGACTGTAAAAATTCACTGCCTCTGCCATGATAATTGCCAACAAAACTAGATGCCTTGAGACAACAGACCAGCCTGGAGCAGCTAGAACATAAGATACTTCTTGAAAGAAAGACCGACAGGAAAAATACAAAACAATAATGGCAGTCCGACTGATTACTAGAAGAACAAGCAAGTTGCTTGCCCAGGAGACATTAAGGCAAGTGGTCAGGTCCCCTCAGGTCAAACCCCCTTCCAAGACTAAGACTCAATGGGACTACACAAGCAGACATGTGCTCTGACTGGTGACCACGTTGGTCACTGATAAGGGGAAGTGAGGGAAAAAAAGCAACGAAGCTGTGAGCTAAGCCCTACAATGTTCAATAGACTCCTGTGAACCCGGGTAGAGATCTGGTTGGCTAGCAGTGTGGCAAGACCTGGGGACTCTTCGGACCAGAGTCAGTGACATAGCCACAGAGGACTAGAGTGGAGAGTGAAGTATAGTGGATAAGAAGTGAGGGCATATGCACAAGAACACCCACACTTGCAGATAATATCCACTTGACCTGGCTTCAATGACTGGACGATCAGAGCTCAACTAGAAGAAAGAAGAGGAAAAAAAGAGTAATGTGATACAATAGCCTGGTATTTCTGGAAAGAAAAGTTAAGATTGCGAATCTCAAATGGGCCCATTTTTCTTGCCTTGAAACCCACATTTCTCTGATCAACTCATACTCCCACATTCTTCATTCCCTTCTTCCCTTATGTTAAATGGAAAAACTTTTTTTAATCTTAAGGTTGCACCTTCCACATGTACTTCACAAATCTTCTCAAATCTTTACACTGCTTACCCAGTTTATCTCTTGTATATTCAATTTAGGATATTCAATATTGTATATTAAGTGATGGAATTACACCAAGTTCTGACCTAGGTAATCTGACCAAGAGCTCTAACTCAATCATAACCTATGGTACTCCCAAATTTATATATTTCCAACATAATACATCTTCTACTCTCCCAAGCCATGTTCTAACTGTCTCCTGTGTGTCATGAATGACCCACACTCTAAAAAAAAACAAAAACATGATCAACAATAAGCAAAATCCAATCTCTGGTCAGTACTTGTCTTTTTGTGAATTTCACCTCAGTCCATGGTAACTACCTATTCAGCTGTATAAGCCGGAACCTAGGCCTTATCTCTGATTGCCCTCTCTTCTTTACATGAATCCAATCCATCACCAAGTTCTATCCATTTTATCTCCTATGTTGTTAACTGCTGTCAGGTCAGTTCCAACTCACAGTGACCCTGTATAGGGTTTCTAAGGAGCAGCTGGTAGGTTTGAACTGTCGACCTTATGGTTTGCAGTCCAGTGCTGATCCTACAGTGCCATGTATCTCTAAAATATCCCAGAATCCTCCTTTCCAATAGTTCTAGCAGGACTACTGCATATCCTTCTCAGTAGTCTCTGTGTAAACTGTAAGGCACACACAAAACCTTCAGGGATTGTCCCATCAGACTTAAAGTAATGCTGTAAATTCCTGCAGAATCTGAACATCTAAGCACCTTCAGCTTCACTGTGTCATATTATTGTAGTTGTTATGTGTCATTGAGTCGACTCCGACTAACAGCGACTCTACGTCATTCTCTTTGTAAGTCACTTGGCCTCTTTGGGTAGATACTCCTTCCGCTCCCCCACCCCCGGCCTTAGAGCCTCACCATTCTGTATAGAAGGCTCCACCTTCACCTTTTCACCTAATGACCTGGTGGTAGTGGTGGTGATTATGAGTCGGTTCCGACTCATAGCGACCCTGCACAGGGTTTCTGAGGCTGTAAATCTTTACGGGAGCAGAAAGCCTCATCTTTCTCCTACGGAAGTTAGTAGTTTCAAACTGCGCCCAATTCGTAACCACTACACTACCGGAGCTCCTAGGTGGTAGCGGTGGTCGGTGGTGCCGTTGAGTCGGTTCCGACTCATAGCGACCCTGTATAGGGTTTCCGAGGCTGTAAATCTTTACGGGAACAGAAAGCCTCATCTTTCTCCCACGGAACGGCTGCTAATTTCGAACTGCTGACCTTGAAGTTCACAGTCCGATTCGTAATCACTAAGCTACCAGAGTTCCTTCCCCTAATGACCTAATTAATTCGAATTCTTCGTTCAGATATCAGCTCCGGCATCTTTTCCTGAGACTCTGGCCCCCTTATTTCAGGCAGCAGGTATCTCGCACCTGGGACCAGACTTCCTGAGGTCAGGAGCCCTGCTGGGGTCACACTACACCCCCAAAGCTTTGCACAACACAGATGATGGACAGAAAGCCTAGTTTACAGGTTGTTGCTGTTGTGTAGGGATCTCACATTTCTCAATAGTGTGCTGTCTAGAAGCAGAAGGTGAACGTTTCATCTCCGTCTCTCTCAGGGTTGTTGTTAAGCCGTCTAGTCGCTTCTGACTCATACCAACCCTGCACCAGGCTTTCAAGAATAGCTGGTGGGTTCCAACTGCCACCCTTGTGGTTAGCAGTCCCTAGTTAATCTTCCAGCGCCACAGCAGGGCCCGGGGGCAGAGTAGGCCTTCACCAAAAGATGCAGCGCAACGACAAAAAACAAGCCTTAGGACATGGGTGGAGACTGGGAGAAATACTTCCCTCCCCCACCCCCACCCCCCGAGAGTACCCCGCACAGGGCTGGACACGGTAGTCGTTTGTTGCAAGAGTCAGCCAGCTAGGACCCCGAAACAGCCGCAGAGTCTGCGTCCCGCCGTCAGAGATCTGAAAGCTCTGGTCCCGCCTGGAAAAAGAATCCAGGCTACTACTCCCCAGGGCTAGGAACTCGGGCCTACATTTCACCCGTTGCAATCAGCATCTTCATCTGAGAAGAGCTCAAACTCAGACCCCATTACCAGGTTGTTGTTGTGAAGTACTATCGAGTCGATTCCGACCCATAGCGACCCTTTACCAGGTAGCCACCCCCAAACTTCTTAGACTTACCAGGTCTTAGCTCCAGATTGCCCAGCCGCGACACTTAAGCGAAATGCAGATTCCAGTCAAAAAGCGATTCCACCCAGAAAACACAGCGCGCCAGGCGCGACTTCAGTTCTATCCACCAACTCTGGAGGCGTACAATTGACGTCAGGAAGAGCTGTCCAATAACAAGAGACTATCCCACGAGAAGCACAAATCCGATTGGTTTCTCCAAACAGGAAGTTCCTGGGAAGGACTAAGTGGGAACCAATCGTGTGGCCCCTCGAGTGTATCGGCGCGGTCAGTGCGGGTGCTGAGCAGAGTGGTTGCCGCCATGATAGAACAGCAAAAGCGCAAGGGCCCAGAGTTACCCCTCGTCCCAGTCAAACGGCAGCGCCATGACTTGCTATTGGGAGCGGCGGGGTCGGGCCCCGGAACGGGGCAGCAGCAGGGAGCTTTGCTGCAAGCGGTAAGTGAAGAAATAGGCTGCCTGCGGCCCGCAGCTCATCTTCCCTCTCCTTAAATTGCTGCACTAAGTTCTCCGGTACGGGCCTTGCCCCACTCGGAGCGGGGAGGAAGAAAGTCAGCATAGAGTTTAGGCTGTAAAGTGCTCAACACTCTACCGATGTTTTCTGTTGTGTTTTCACGTTTGTCGCCTCGACCGCCTTGTGAGGTGGCATTAGCATTGTGGTTAAGAACCTTCGGTTCATAACTCGGGCCGCGGCTGACGCGTACTCAAACCTGGAGGGAGATTCCATAGAATAAACAGTTAAAGTTTGTAGAACGAATGAAAAATTTGTAGAGCGAACGAATGAATGAATGAGGGAAGGAAGGAAATGAATGCTTATTGGCTCACTTTGGGACTTTGGGCGAGTTGCATTTCTCCTCTCTTTCAACTTCCCGTTATTTCTTTGAACTAGTAGGTTTTTAACTTTTTCATTGTGATTTGGGTGAAAGTTGACCAAGCAGATTCGTTTTCCATTCAACAATTCCGACACGTTTGGTTTCATGACATTGATGGCAGTCCCCACTCTTCCTTCTTCCTGTGCTTCCCGTTTCCATTCTCCTTCTTTCCCATCCCTTCCAGCCCTCTGATCTTTGTTGTTGGTTAAGTGCCGTCCACTGGTTCTGACCCAAAGCGACCCTGTGTAGGGCTTCCGAAGAGCGGCTGGTGAGCTTGAACCGCCGACCTTGCGCTCCAGTGCTTGTCATTCATCCTGGGCCAGTGTTGCCCCTTGATCGCCTCTGGTTGGTGGTTCTTGGATGCACATGCTTGTTTGCACACCTATTAGTTGCTGCACAGTTGTATGTGTTGTTGTT